CGCAGTGGGCAAGTGTCCAGGCAGGCAAGCACGGCCGTGCCAGGGCAGTCACCTTGTCAACTGGCTGTTTACAGCCCCCGTTCAAGAAAAACAGGTTTTGCATTTCATTGTCTACAGAGTGAAAAATAAGTTCCGACTAGGAAAAAGTAAATAAATGGAAATAACTCCTGGAAATATGTCTAAGGAGACTTTGAAAAGTTTGGGGATAGATGGAATTCAAGTATGAGTTTATTCTAATACAGAAAAATTAAAATCCATGCATAGTGTTTTCAAAATAAATATCTTCCATATGTTTTTGGAAGACCCCTCATATGTCAACCTAGGGCCTCTGAGGAAATAATATACCCTAAATACCTGCCCAGCCCAGTGCTGGGGAAATAGGGGCCCAGTGGTGACAGTAATGGACAGGCAGTGTGCAGGTGTCCCCGCAGGCACGCAGAGGCAATTCACGTGTGGACCAGGTGCGGAAAGGACAGAGAAGTAATGCCTAAAAACTGGGAGAGGCTTAAATGTCCGAAGAGAAAAGACACTGTATGACCACTGTATAATACACTAGACAAAGAGTTTGAGAGAATAAGCTAGATATAGAAACATAAGCATGGAAGAAGGCCTCAAAAACTATTGTAAAATGAGAGGTAAAATATTGCATTGAAATCTAAATTAGATTTCTCACCCCCAGGGAGTGATGGCCATGCTGCAATCCCTTCTTCTCCATTCTCTTCTCAGGATCTTAGGCACACACGCACACGCACCCGGCATGAGTTGAAGCCACCAAGTCCAGGACTCAAACCAGTGTCGACTACATGGGAGTCCAGTGACGTAGCCATTAAGCTAACTGCTGGTCCCTAAATCATATATATTCTGATCGTGTGTGTGTACACATAAATGCAAAGAAAACAACCAATTTTAGCACTGGCTGCTTTTGGTGAGAAGAGCAACCTAAGTGTCAAGGGCTAACGAAGGTTCCCATTTACTATCTGTACTTGGTCTTTACTAATGCTTATTTTTACAGCGAGTATTTATATTACTTTATAGTTTTAAACACATATTACTTCACCCAATAAAAAAATGAAGAACCGGGGACCAGCAGGTGGCGTGGTGGTTAAGGTGCTGGCCACTCCCACATGGCCGACCGCGGTTTGAGTCCCGAACCTGGCGGCTTCCTTTCTCCCTTTCCCTTTCCCTCTCCCTCTCTCTCTTTCTGTGCCTTTCTCTGGTCAAATTAAAATTAAATGAATGAATAAATAAAGTTAAATAAATAATAATTTAAAAAAAAGAAGAAGAACCAAAATCTGAGTGTATTTTACAGACTGGTTCACTTTCCAAAGAATTTAAACAAGTATAGAGCTAGAGCCTACTAAACTTTTTTTTTTTTAAGAATTATTTTATTGGGACCAGCAGTTGGCATAATGGCTATGTGGCTGGACCTCCCAGTAGTCAACCCTGGTTTGAGTCCTGGACCCGGTGGCTTAAACTCACCGCTGGGCACATGTGTGTGAGTGCCCAAGATCTTGAGAGGAGAATGGAGGAGAAGGGATTGCGGTGTGGCCATCCCCCCTGGGGGGTGATTTCTCACTTTCTGTCTCTCTGTCTCTCTGTCTCTGTCTGTCAGCGCACGCGCCCTATAGCAAAAACCTCTCAAAAAAAGAAAAAGATGACAGGTGGGGATAAGCAGGTGGCGTGGTGGTTAAGGCGCTGGACACTCCCACATGGCTAACCGCAGTTCAAGTCCTGTATCTGGCGGCTTGCTTTCCCCTCTGCTCTCACTCTCTCTCTCTCTCTGGTCAAATTAAAGTAAATGAATAAATAAAACCGAATAAATAATTCTAGAAAAAAAAAGAAAAACACAACAGGCACATACGTGTGTTCAAAATCCTGAAAGGAGTAAGAGCTGAAAGAAATAGGACTGTGGTGTGGCCATGCCCCCTGAGCAGTGCTTTCTCACTTTCTCTCTCTCTCTGGAAAGTGCCAGAATTACTTGTGAAACGTCTGAAAATACCTGTGACTCCTTCATTATGTGGCATGTGGTTGCAGGGGGAAGATACCAAAAAATAGTATAGTTTTCTGATTTAAACTTTATTAATTCAAAAATACTAGGTGATGGGGACCAGCTGTTAGTATAATGGCTATGTCGCTGGACTCTCACATAGTCGACCGCGGTTCGCGTCCTGGACCTGGTGGCTTAAAACTCACACCGGGCCGTGTGCGTGCGTGCCCAAGATCCCAAGAGGAGAATGGAGGAGAAGGGATTGCAGCATGGCCATTCACCCTGGGGGGTGATTTCTCGCTTTCTGTCTCTCTGTCTGGTGAGCACACGCACCCTATAGCAAAAACCTCTCCAAAAAAAACCAAAAAAAAACAAAAAACTAGGTGATGGGACCAGCAGTTAGCGTAATGGCTATGTTGCTGGACTCCCATGTAGTCGATGGCGGGTCACATCCTTG